TGGCAGCTATAGTGTTCGCACTAAAGATCTGGAGACATTATCTGTATGGTTCACAATTCGATGTTTTCAGCGATCACAAGAGTCTGAAGTATTAGTTTTATCAGAAGGAACTAAACATGAGGAAACGACGGTGGATGGAATTCTTGAAGGATTATGAATTTGAACTCAAGTATCATCCATGCAAGGAAAATGTAGTAGCTAATGCTTTGAGCCATAAGACTCTCTATACTGCAACCCTGATGATAGAAGAACTAAAACTACTTGAAGCTTTTCGGGATCTGAACTTGTCTATTATCATAAGAAGGCATGGAATAAGGTTGGGCAGAATCAAAGTAGAGAATGAGTTACTCCGTAGAATAAAGAGGGCTCAAAGAGATGAGGGACTAGTTCATAAATTGGCTGGTTACCAAGATGTCAGTTGGGATGAAAGTAAATTGTTGAGGTTTCAAGGTCGGTTAGTAGTGCCGAATGACGAACTTAAACAAGAAGTTTTGCAAGATGTGAAGTTGCATGGAGTTCCCACCAGTATTGTCAGCGACTGTGATCCCAAGTTCACCTCTAAGTTTTGGGAGTCTTTTCAACGGGCTCTCGGAACCCACTTGAGGTTGAGTACTGCTTATCATCCGCAAACCGATGGTCAAACCGAACGCATTATTCAGGTTCTGGAGGATATGTTGCGAGCTTGTATTTTAGAACAAGGAGGCAGTTGGGACAAGTATCTTCCTTTGGTGGAGTTTACCTACAATAATAGTTTTCATTCCAGCATCAGAATGGCATCGTATGAAGCTTTGTACGGGAGGAAATGCAGATCTCCTTTATGTTGGGTAGAAGTTGGTGAGCGGAGTATTTTGGGGCTCGACATGATTCAAGAAACTTCAGAGCAGGTACAGAAGATCAAGGAAAATATGCAAAGGGCCCAGGCGAGGCAGAAAAGTTACTATGACAATCGTCATAAACCCCTATCTTTTAAAGAGGGAGACCACATGTTTCTGAGAATCACACCCACATCTGGACTCAGTAGGAGAATGGGAACGAAGAAGTTGAGTCCGCGGTACTTGGGACCATACCTTATCTTGGACAGGATTGGAGAATCAGCTTATCGAGTGGCGTTACCGCCTAATTTGTTGGGAATTCATAACGTCTTCCATGTGTCTCAGTTGAGAAGATATATATCTGATCCGTCCCATATACTACAGCTAGAAGAAGTAGAATTAGAGAAAAATCTGACGTACCCTGTTCAACCATTCCAAATTCTCGAGAGGTCAGTCAAGCAACTTCGTTCCAAGGAGATACCGTTGGTGAAAGTACTATGGAACAATAAATCTGCGTATGAAGCCACTTGGGAGCGTGAAGATGACATTGGGAATTGGTACCCGGAACTCTTTAATTAAGTACGTAAGTCTAATTTTGCGGACAAAATTCTATTTTGGTGGGGAGAGTGTAACATCCCGCATAAATTAGGAAATTTATTTTACATGCAATTAGGAATGAGTATATATTTTCTGAATTCGAAACACTAGTTAAAAGGATAGGATTAATTTTAATTACAACATACAAAAAAATCTTAGTACTACTTAGGGGATTACATGAAATAATGTTCATTAGGAAATGAAATTTTGGACCCAATGACCCTTAATGGGCGCCTGCCCAGGCCTCTGAATGGAGGACTTTAATCAGCCCAACACCATTCCTACCCTTGATCCATGACTAACTCTTACACTTATCCTAAGAAATCTACATGACTACTTCTCATTGGACAAGAAGTAAACCATTTTATCCCCCGTTATCTTTCCCTCCCTATGCGCATTGTAAGTAAACCATTCAGAACCATCCTCTTGATTCAAAACCAAACTCAGCCATCCTCTCCCTCCAGGCCGCGAGTCTCCTTAGAGAAGAACTCATCACTTAAGCCCATAATTCCTTCTCTTCTCCTTTACTCCCTCGGCCGAACATCAAGCAACAAAGCTTGCATGTCCTTTACCTTCCCACCTCTTTCACTAAGCCGTATGTCCTAAGAGAAAGTCCCCAAACACTAAAAGCTCACATCTATTCTTCTCCTTCTTACTCGCCGAAGATAAAAATCAAGGAGGTGAGGTATTTTCATTACCTTCTTGTCCCTCACTACATGATTCGGTCCTGATTGAGTTCTTCCCCCTTTGCATGCAGCTTGAGCTCGGTTTCTTGGAACGTTGAAGGGAAAGGTTGCTGCTCTTTAACCGATTCGCTAATCTTCGAGTGCATGCAAGAAGGTACCAAATGAAAACCAAGTTCCTTTTTTTTTTCCACACTGTTTCGGTCTCACATGCATGTAAGGAGGATGTATTTTTTGTTGTCATTCCTCTTCTCTTGTTTCTGCTCATTCGAACAGCCCATGGGTTTAGTGCATGCACGCACAAAAATCAGATTTGTGAGCTTGGAAAATAGCTCCTCTTAAATTTCGGGACTACTCTTTGGATTAGCAAAAATTGTGAAGCCTTGCATGTGGTTATAATTCAGTAGACAGCATGCTAAATGAACCATTAGCTCACATTAATTCATGTGGGGAATGCTATAGTAAACGAAAATGGCAGCACCAAGTGAGGGCCTAAAAACCGTACATGCTTGCATATAGGAAATCTTGGGATTTGTCACTTGATAACAATTGGTAAATTAATCTTAAGATAGAAAATTCATTTGGTATAAGAACCATGAAATACGATTAAATCCAAGGATTAGGAGGAATGGAAATTACATGTGTTTTATAGGAAAAATAGATGAGAATTCTGATTTGGAAATTTGTTAATTAGGTGCGCAAGCCTCTAACAAAAAAGGGGACTGATTTGATGATATTGTGGTTATAACTCTAAAGCACTAAGGTAAGTGTTTGGTGGATTAATCTTTTGTGACTGTTAGTTTAGTTCATGAATTTTTGAATTGTTGCTCATATGTCTCATATACACTCTGTTGGAAAGTATTTATAATCTGCCTTTGGAGAGGACTTATTGGAATTCTGTTTTGGAGACACCATGTTCAAAATTTTGGTAGCATAGTCATGTGAACTATGATTTTCTGATTCTGATTTTTTGTCATGCTCATAAACATCATGCATTAATCATATTGTCATGTGTGTGAAGCAAATTACAGCATAACATGCATCATTTGGAAACCGTAAGATTATGAAAGAAAGCATATGTTTGAGCATCCATCAGGTAACAGGGAGAAGGAACCGTGGCTCAGTTTACATAGGCCTCAATTGGAATTCCCCCTGCTAGGGCCAAATGGAATCTCTATTGAGTTTAGTTAGCTAGTATGTGCACTTTAGAGCTATGAACATATAATATTCTGGCGTTATATACGCATTCTGTTGCACTTTAGTATCTGTTCGGTAATTATTTGAGGATGTGACAATTTTGGAAATTCTGCATCTAAATTAATACTGTTGCATTATTGGTTTTTCTATCACACTACTGGGATTTTTCTCACCCCTTCTGGGGCTCAAATTTTATAAAATTGCAGGAGGAAGAAGAAGTATTTGATGCAGTGTATTCTTGGAAAAATTCTGCCTGAATCACTACTGTGTCACTGCTTTGATGGATTTGAGTGTTGAATGTTTGTAGTTGATGTAATCTTAAGGAGATTGGTGTACCCAGAATTTATGTCCTGTTTTATTGTGAAACATTTTTGTAGTTTGAATTTTTCTGTTTTGCATGGAACTCGTATAGCTATGGTACTTGATTGCCCAAAACAATTTCTGCCTGTACTAAATTTGGATTTTAGCACTGATTTAGCATGCATCTTGCGAGTTCTGTTTCCGGGGCTACAGACCTCCGAATGAGATAAATTTTAATGTGCGTAAAGCCCCAGATGTCTATTTTCAGATTATATAAAGTCCATTTCAAAAGCTGGTAAGTTCGATTTTATGTGATTTTTGCAAGACAGACAGGTTTTCTGGAAAATTAACGATTTCAGCATCAAAAGCTTTTATGAAATTACTAGCTGTTTTCTTTATGAAACCCGATTTCAAGACAAGATTTATTTGCGACTTCAAAATGCATTTTTTAATTGAATACGTTAACGTTGCGACTCTAATCGGTTTTAGCAGGCATCTCACTTGGATGCATACAGGGGAGGGTGTCACATAATATATTTCCATCTTTAGAAATTTCCTCTATATCTTGTGTCAGGTATCAAACGCTAGCACATTTACTTCAATTTTTATTTCTAATTTCTTGTTCAATAATTTCCACAGGTGAATATTTTGACACATACAGCTGAGGTTACATTAACTGATGAACAACACCCTGTTATTTCAAAATTAAAGAAAGCACAGAAGGGCCAAGATGAGAAAGAGTGTCATGCTTAGGTTGCTGAATGCCTGAAGAAGTGCCATAAAATCAATGGAAAGATATTTCCAAATGATGTGCCTGCTATCTCTAAAGAAACAACAGAAACATGTGGTGCTCTTTGGGACATCTTTCGGAGGGAGGATACTGAAAAGTTAGAAGCATATCTACGAAAACATTCTAAAGAATTTAGATATCTCATGATTAATTTTATGTGTTGCATCAAACCGAAGGCTACCATCATGTAACCATGGATCTTTCAATTGCTTGTATTGTTTAGCTACAGGGAGGCAAAACAAGCATTTGCATTACTTAAATAGCAATGTTAGCTTGCCTTCAACTTCACTGACCTACTTAAATATCACAATTGAACATTAAACTAACATGAATTACAATCTAGTAAAGGTACTTCCTCCTGCATGGCTGCATTACATATATAAGGGCTGGGCAAGTAGCTGCTCTTGCAATGACAATGTAACATGATTAGAGAGACATGGAACCAAAAAAGAAAGAAAGAAAGAATTAACCCAAAACAGAAAACAACAGACCTGGTTACAAGGGAAAATGTCAGCAATGAGCTTCTTGTACCTCTTGACAGGTTGTCTTGACCTTGCTCTCAAGGAAGGGCAAAAGAAACAAAGATTGCCACGAGCAGGCAGAACTTGACGGGAAACAAATAAAGCGCAGCAAAGGAAGAGGTACAAAATTTTGACTACGCATATGTCATGGTCAAGTGAGGACTCTTAATCTATATAACATGGATTAGGAGTCACATATTTTTGTTGTAAAGTTGGCATTATTGACGTCCTCGTGAGTGCACGCAAAGCTTACTTTAAGATTATGCGATCTAGCATTGTGGCTCTTCTTCATGCACGACTTCAACTTAGGGACCTGCTCGAAATTATGGATGATTCCACCTTGTGACTTAAACAAGATAAATATCAATATTTCACCTGAATGAGGAACTGAGTTAATTATAAACAACAACTGATTATGTTCCAGAACTTAAAAACTCTAGTGAACAAAATATTGAATCTTATAAAGAGAATTAATAAAAGGAACACAAATGTAAACCCCAAATGCAATTATATTCAGTTAAATAAAGCGAACACAACGCAATTAAGCTAAAAAAATTCATTTTCCGAACAAAAAATATACATATATATCGATTGTGCTAAAAATAGAGCTTATCCTTGCTTCTTATGCTTTGGTGTTCATTAATTTCTATTCTGGTTAGGTTGTCCATCCAATTCATGACCAATGTTTTTATTTGACTTTGGAGCACAAGAAGAAGCTGAAGGAAGAATTTGGTTAGTAGTTAGTTCATAGAATTGCAAACAACTTGGGCAATGCCTACAATTAGTTATTTACCCAAATCTTAACTTTCAGGTGTAGAACCTTGGACGTTTGAGCAGAAACTTGAGAGGCAGTATTTATTCCTGCTGGATGTCCACACTAAGTTAGGAATCTCAAGGTAAAACTTCTCTTTGACACATATTGGATTGCCTCATTATCACATTTTTATTTATTGTACCCCTTTAACTCTAATTACAATAATGGAAATCTTGCAGTCATGCACTAAAGTTGCTTCAGATTTTGTGTCTCCTGAGAATATTCATATGTGCTTGCGATTAAAGGATGAATTTCGTCGTCTTCCTAGGAATCACAAGGCGAGGGAAGATAAGCTAGAGGTGATTTTCTTCTATAACATATTTCCTTATCTACTTTTATCCTCCTCTCTTCCTTAGCTTCAACCTACTTAAGTTGTATAAGAAATTGTGATGTTAGCCAACATTTTCTTATTTTATGTTTGTTTATGGTGGATGATTTTTAATGAAACAGATAAAGAAGATGATCGTGCATGCTGTAGATCAAATAGTCAAGGAATTAGAAGCATTGGTGGAGTGTTCTTGAGACTGGCCTATATGCTGCTTCCATAGCTGCTATGATTTTTTTAACCTCATAGTTTAGATTTTTATTCAGATAGAAAATTTTGTGTTGGGTAATTTTTCATTGGAGGCTCAATTTGATTTTTTTCCTTGTTATTCAATCATGTATATGTATACATACACAAATAAATAATTTTCTCTCCATCTTCCTGCATTTGGATTTCCCCTTGGGTTTTTGTGCTCTATGCACATAACTCTTCGGTACATTTTTATTATAAAATTTCACAGTTTTGAAATTAAACAAATGCATTACATTATAAGAATAACTTTGTTGCCATTGATAAATGTTATTGTAAGAACCCGCACCGTTAAATTAGGAATTTAATTAATTAATTATGAGCTTAAGTGAATAATTTCATAATTGACCTTAAATAATTATGGTAAGGTAAGAATAATTAATATAATGGCTTAATAATGCTGAAAGTCGCTTTTCTGACGAAAAATGCAGTTACCGATTCTGCTCTACGGTATAATTGCGTACCGATGAAGTATCACAAAAAATTATAATAAGTGCATGAATATTACTAGAATAATATATAGGACTGGTATAGCAAGTTTCAAGTCAAAATAATAAAAACTGGTGTCAAGACTGATACCGGCTACGTAAAAGCGCGTAATGGCAAAATGTTGCGAAAAATAAAATAAAAATATGACAAATCTTAGGAAAATGGCTAGGTTCTGAATTCAAAGTTTGGGATTAAAATGATAAATGTAGCCATTAGTTCTAATACAGTGTGATTAATCTTTATACGCCTATATATACTTAATGGCACATATTTCTAGGTCAGAAATCTCACACTCTACGTGCCTCTCTTCTGAATCTTGAGCTTTCCATGCTTGCCACCCTCTTCCTCTTCACCTTGTGAGCAAAGAGATCACATTTTCTCTTGGTTTCTCCACTAAATCTCCATGTGTGAGTGTGCATAAGACTTTAGAGAGTGTAAGGTGATCTATTTCTGAGTTGAGTGTTAGTTGAGTGAGGGTTGGGGGGCTGACTTCTTGGTGTGAGTTGTGGGAGCCATTATGATGGCATTTTGAGCTTTAAGAAGCTACCATTGTTGATAAAGGACCAAGCTTGCAAGGCAAATTCGTAGCCTTGTGAAGTCAGTGTTGTGTGGCTGATTGGTGAGCTCCAAGAGCACCATTTGCTTCTGTTTTAAGCCTTGGGTAAGGTTCACCACCTTTGTTCTTAAGTTTTCTTTGGAAAGAATGAACCTTGATGCATGTAACAAGCTAGAGTTAATAACTTAAGGGTGGGTAATGTTAAACACACCTAGAAATGTATGTTTGAGCTTCTGAAATCGTTAAAAGAGCAATCTTGGAGTGATATTTCGCGAAATGCAGAAACTGCATGCTGTCGCGAAATATCCGGATATGATATCCGGATATAGGGTTTGAGATATCCGGATATGGATATCCGGATATGGCCTCGACATATATCCAGATATATTGAAAATTTCGAGATGGTCACTGTTCTGTTCGTACAGAATGGTATTTTGGGTTTGTGGACCCATGATTGGTAGAGTTGAACCCCTGTAATAATTAAACTAAGTCAGAATCACTTAGATTAAGGGCTTGTGGCTTTGTGAGAAGCCTAATGGCATGAAACGTAAAAGGAAAACGTTGTCGTATTGTCATGAACTATTAGATTATGAATATCGATATGATTGTTGGTATAAACAGACTGTGAGAGTGTTGTTTGTGGACATTGGACTGGGTTAGACTCTTGTGTTGGATAGTTAGCTTGCGAGGTAAGCTTTCGTGTCCTCGGTTTTGCCCATTGTTGGTTCCACCGTACCCCACGGGGGGATGACTTATATGCATGATGTGTTTTCATGAAATGATGTTTATTGAAATGCTTTTCAGCTGTTAAGTGCAAGTGCCTTATGACATGTATGTGTTGTTCCACCTAGACGGTAAGTCTGAGTATGTAGCGTCATACAATATGGTGATTCTGTGGGTGAGGTACAAGTGGCGTCTTGTACTGTAGGTTGTAGACGTGTGTAAATCCTGCATGTTTATTCTCTGGCCAATAGGATTCTTGACACACATGACATGATTATATTCTGCATTGCACAGATTTTGGAACTTATATTGTTTATTTGCTTTTGAACTTATATTGCACATGTAAGTGAGTTTGGGGTGGAGAGATCCTTGAGGACCCCTTGTCTTACTGAGATTTCTTTTTAGAGATCTCACCCCACGTTTGGGGCATATTTTCAGGTTCAGGTACATCGGGGGTTGAGACCTCGGGCGGCAGGAGGCCGAAGCTTAGTTGACTGTTGTTTACATGCTTATGCTGACATGATTGGATGCTGCTTATGTTTTTAGTTTCATTTTGGTTTATTGAGCTGATACTATGTTGGGCTTTGTTGCCTTATTTGGTGAGCGTGAGGATTGTCCATGCCACATTGATTATGCTTGGTTTATTTAGACTCGTTATGTATAATGAATCAGGATGTTGAAAGTGAGTATTTCTTGATATTGGGTGATGGCAGCTGTAGCACCTATAGGCCTAGAGCAACTTTGACTTGATTTGGGTTTTGGTGAAGTGGGGATCATGCAATGAAGTATGATTCTGAGGGATAATTCAATCTTGGGGAAGCTTGCTTCTTCCGGGGTCTTTGTGGAAGAAGCCACTTATGAATTAGATATTATTTCAAGTTTCAATAACCTTGTCCGTTTTATATACTTGAATATGAAATAATATGTTGTGTATTGAACTAATTCAGAGAGTTACAATATATAGAGACCCTAATGGGCTTAAGTGAAAGGCCCAGACCTAATCCAATCAAAACATTTACAGATAGGAAGTAATCCAATCATATCTAATCATATCCAATCATATCTATTCATATCTAATATATTCTAACACTCCCCCTCAAGCTGGGGCGTATATATTGTGAGCACCAAGCTTGCTACAAATGTATTCAACCCGAGGACCTCTAAGAGCTTTAGTGAAGACATCCGCTAGTTGATCAGAAGAGTTGACAAAAGCTGTCTTGATTTCTCCTGACTGAATCTTTTCTCGAATGAAGTGACAATACTCTATATGTTTGGTTCTCTCATGAAATACAGGATAAGAGGATATATGTAGCACAACTTGATTATAACAAATGAGTGTCATGGGTTGTTTCTGTTCACAAAGATGAAGCTCCTGAATCAACTGCCTTAACCAGATTAACTCACAGGTAGTATTTGCCATTGCACGATACTCAGCTTCTGCACTAGATCGAGCAACAACAGGTTGTTTCTTGCTCTTCGAAGAAATTAAGTTTCCTCCAAAGAAGACACGATAGCCGGAAGTAGAGCGCCTGTCCGAGGGTGATCATGCCCAATCAGCATCTGAATAACCACAAATTTTTGTATTTCCTTGATCCGAATACAACAAACCTTTTCCTGGTGCTCCTTTGATGTATCTGAGGATCCAAATTTCTGTATTTCCCTGATCCGAATACAACAAACATGTACTTGTGCATCACCCTCAGGTGCACAATCAAGTCATGGCGCAACGTGCCTTACTTCCCCTGGTCCTCATATCTCCAAAGAAGTGCCTTCCCCTTCAAAGAAGAAGAAAGAAATAATCCAATCATTAAGGGGCTAGAAAAGAAAAGCCGCAGAATCCAGCCCTTCTTTCCAAGATTCAACCTATTGGGGAGGTGACTGGGACATGGAGGATTGCTTATACGCTAAGGGCAAAGAAATTGGCCATTTGATTGAAAAGGCTGAGATGGGTGACTGGGAAAGAGAGGTGGCAAAGAAATATGGCAAATCAACGTTTAATGTCGCTAACTGGTATGTATAATACCTTGCTGAATCTACGTAAGGTTTCCTATATATCAAACCATTTTTTGGCTAACCCCCTTTCATCTTGGAATTGTGTCTTCTATTTGGTAGGTAATGTTGCCTTCTTTAAGGAGCGGATTGAGATGCTGCGAGATGAGAAGACCAACGTGCTTGCTGAATTTGAACGAGCCAAGTAGATGGCTAAAGATGAAAAAACTGACATGTCGCAAGAGCTGAACTGAAAGAGTTAAAGGCCAGTAATGCTACACTCAAAACGCAAAAGACTGGCCTGTCCAACCAAGTGAAGGACTTATTGGCAACCATTGATTCCTTAGTGAAGAGAAGACGAGTCTGAATTCTGAGGTGGCGAGATATCAAGGACTGTTTGAAAATGAGGTTGTTGGCACTTATGAGAATATCCTTGAGCAGGTGTTCCTTTTTAATCCAACGGCGAAGCTGGAGAATGTTCATTATCTTCATTTTGTGAAGAATGGATAGTTGATGAAGTTAAATGACCAGCAAAAGGAGGAGCCAATGGATTTAGTAAGCGCAATGGACATCGAGACTCCTGCGCAACCAATTGTGCCAGAAAATACAGCAGACAACCAAACTGATGCAGCAGATGGGCCTCGTGATATGTCCATCTAGGCTATTTAACACCACCTTCCAAATCTCCGTTATTTTTTTTGTACTAATGATATATTTTGTAAGACAATTATCACATGGTCTGGATAATGAGTCCAAACTATTTGATTTTGTACTGGATAATGAGTGTTTTCAGATATTTATAATTTGTCTTCGTTTCTTAATGTGTCTGCTTGTTCTTGTGTTAAATTGTAATATCGTTTTCACATGATGCGCGATGTGAATCTGAGCTTCCTAATCTGGGTGCTCTAAGCTTTTAAGTATGAGGGTGCATTTCATTGTGCCTTTATTTGGCGCTATGTTTTGTACTTTGCTAGTGCTTTAAGGTTTGCAAGATTTTGTATATAGTTAAAGTTCATATAATTGCATACCGTATTGTGCATGTTTTCTTGGTTTAATGCCGCTTGAATAATTTTGGATGCCACTTTAACTTGTGCGTTTTTCTTCGCGTAATAGAAGTGTAGACCAATGAAGTTTTTGATCTTTTTCTTCCTGTGCACTTCTTTTGACATTTTGTGGACTAGAAGTTTTAAACAATTAAGGATTTAC